GAGATATCATGACCTCAATCAGGATGCAAGTTCCCAAGTCTCCTTGCTGTTTTTATTTTGCACTTTCCAGTTCTGACTCCCTTGGCCTGCCTTTCCCCAGCTGTGCTTCGCAGTCCTGAGACTACTTTCCAGCCATCATACCCAAACCACATAACCCTCGGAGGTTGGCATGTTTCTGCTAGCCTGGACGCCTCCTACCTGCCCTAATATAGCTATGTCCTCAAGTCGGGAACTCTTACTCATATTTCAACTTTACACCACCTCCTGCTCTTCCCACATGGACCCCCTTCCTGGTTCTTCTCTTGATAGTTAAGCCTCAGCTCAGGCACACAACTTAGCACGTAACCTACCTCCGACTTCTCATGAAGGGAAAGATACTTTGGCATCTCTACTTCGTCCATTAAGCTTCCTTTGCCTGAAAAGGACCAAGAGCTCAACCAACCAAATAGATAAGGAGTGAAGAGCTCCACAGTTAACTAGGTAACCCGATAACTTCATCTTTTTACCCATCATTCTCTTTACCTTTAGAGTTGCTCTTTCCTCATCTCAAAATATTTGCAGCAGTTCCAACATCCCATCCAGATTAGATGCCCAGAGGTTGTGAGGGAACAATAGGACTATCATTTCCCTACGTCTTTCTTTTTTTAAAGATTTTTTAATTCATTCTCTATCTATCTATCTATCATCTATCTATCTGTATGTGTGTCGGTCTGTCTGTGTCTCTGTGTGCATCTGTGTCTGTGTGTATCTATGGTACATGTGCATGAGTGCAGATACCCACAGAAGCCAGAAGAGGACATTTGACTTGATGGAGCTGGAATTACAGTCTACTATGAGCTGCCAGATGTGGGTGCTGGGAACCAAACTTGGGTCCTCTGGAAGAGCAACAAGCACTCTTAAATTCTGAGCTCTCTCCAATTGCCCAACCCCTATATCTTTTGGGAGGCATGAGAAAATCTTTCCCATCATCCCTCAGCAGAGGTATCATGTCTTTTTGATCAAAACTACAATGAGTTTATATCCAATTGGCAAGAGGAAGGGAGTCATCTTGATTGGCTTAGAGCAGTGATGCTGAAAGAGCAGTCCTCAGACCAACAGCATCAGTATCACTTACACAATTAGAAATGCACGCTCTCTAACTCATTGCACACCTTTGAACTCAGAAACTTCAGGAGTAGGAATCATCAGCTGGTGACTTAAGATGACTTTGTTATGAGCATTAGACATGGAGAGTCACTGGCTTGGAACAGTCAAGACCTGTTTCATATTTAAAGCTTCGTTTTCCTGAAAGATGCAGTCATAATAAAGAATGACTGACTCTGAAGGAAAAAAAGTCACAGTTCTTTCATAAAGAAGAAAGGAATGATGGGTGAATAGCCAAGTTTATCTTTTATAATCAGTGTGTCAATTATTTTTTCTTTTGGACCAGAAAGAATCCTGATGCTTTTTTTTTTTTTTTTTTTTTGCACATGCTCTGTAATCAATAACTCAAGAGGATATTTACAGAAAATATTTTTCAACGAATATTTCGGATGCCCTTAGAAAAAGTTTAACTATCACTATACAATATTCAATAAAACACCAACCCTTAGCCATGCACATAAAGTCTTTAAAAGTCGTTCCCATAAAGGGCTTCATAACATTCCCAGGATGATTCTTTATGGTAGAAAGATGAGTTATTGTTTTTAATTTTCATTTTACAGATGGGAAAACTGAAGCTTAAAGGGGGAAGAATCACAGAGCTAGCAGCTTTGTGTGCCAAGGCTCACCGTGCAGAACTGACTCGGAGCTTTCTGGAGCATCTTCCATTAGATTCTGCTGTATGGGAGGAAATGGCCCCTGCAATAAAGTCTTCCATGGGAAAAAAAAAAAAAAAAAAAAAACATGAAGATTTCAGTGCCTTTGTCTGCATGGCCTGGTGGCCTGCAAGTCTTCACAGTTTCGACTATAGTACAAGAGAAGCTGACAGCTAGAACGAATGGCTAGATTTCCCCAGCACTGCTAATTGCACGGCAGAGGAATTTTGCATGCTGCTACCCAAGAAAATGAGCATTTTCATTACCCGATATAGCTTTAATGAATGACCTAACGTATAGCCACAGAAATGCTGCCTCGATCACATGGCAATGCCTAACACCACATTTTCCTCCAGAAAATCCAAAAGATTTCTTTCTCTTTTTTTTTTGTTTTTGTTTTTGTGAGCTAGAGGTATGAATCTTTTTTAAATCATAAAGAAAAAGAAAACACATAGTGCGTTGTCTGCTAAAGTAGATTTCAACCATGGCTTTTCAGCTAGGGGACCCAGACTGTTGTGTTCTTGAATAAAAATCAGATCAGAGCCCAGTCCCCAGAAGACCACATGGGGATGTTAGAGCAAAGTAGTCCAATACGTAGGGTTCTCCATACCGGGTATCAGATCTCTTCTGCATCCCTGCCTGCAATGCTCTTCAGACCCAAGAGCATCTGTTCATGTAATTCTTCTGGGGCCTGGAGAGATTGCCTGGTGGATATGAGCACTTGCTGCTTTTCCAGAGGACCAGAAGTTGGGTCCCAGGTCACCCACGTCAGGTGGCTCACCACCACCTATAACTCCACCTTCCACGGGGTCTGACGGCACACTCAGAAAGACTCAGACCAACACACAGAAATAAAAACTTTTCTTTCTTTCTTTTTTTCTATTTCTTTTTTTAGTTTTTCAAGACAGAGTTCAGGGTTTCTCTGTATAACAGTCCTGGCTATCCTAGAACTCTCTTTGTAGACCAGGCTGGCCTCAGACTCACAGAAATTCACCTGCCTCTGCCTCCCGAGTACGAGGATTAAAGGTGTACATCACCGCTCCTGGCGGAAAACAAATTGTTAATAGCCCTGCTGAGAATCCCATGAGCTTCCAACCTCTACCACAGCCTGTGTCAATTCTGTGAGATCCTGAGACCAGTGAGCAGTAAATGCCCTTTGATGGAAGACTGCTGGGAGGAAATAAAGAGTATTGCAGCAGGTGAATAAAGGGCAAAGGCAGTGTGGTCCTCATGCCCTTCGCCCTAAAATTTTCCAAGGAAAACTGTCCCCTCCAGGTTCTCTACTTCTAGCCTTCCTATTGACTTGGGACTACTGCTTCTCTTGTGGCTGAGTCCTTGAACATCTGCCAGACCTGCCACTGTCCTCCTCTGAAAGTCAAGCATCCTTCCTGAAGAACCCAGGTGGAGGAGAGCACATTCTTAACTCAGCCCTGCAGGAGCACCAGAGTTCAAAGCCCCAGGCAGAGCTCCGCCTAAGCGGGCTGCATGAATGCTGAATTATTGTTCTGCTGAGCAGTTACCCCCATACCAGGCAAGTCAGAACAAGCCTTCTAAGCTGTGGTGATGGATGTTTCCAGGGAACCCGTGGGAGTTATTAATATTCATGTTCCTGTCACACTTTTGCAAGTAAAGGAAGCTTGTTTTCTGTAACACATCATTAGGTGAGGAAGACAGGTGACCTCCTAGGGTTTTGAAGCAAAAAGGGTGGTCACTCCAGACCCGGAGGGGCTGAAAGGGGAGCACGCAAGGTGAAACGGTCGTAGGCAGTAATCTCTCTCCTTGTAGAGATGCACAAAAGATCCCTTTCATCAAATGCAGACATGTGTAGGCCTCTGCAAAGAGCCGTGGTGGGATCTGAGGCTGTTCCCAGTCTCTCCCCTCTCACAGAGGGACAGCAGGACACAGAAGCCATGTCTGGGAACACAGCTTTGTGAGTACAGAGTAAGGAATTGAGGAATCTGACTGAGCCACCCTGCTTGCCTGTGGAACACAGGAGGGGTCTGCAGATTTGGGACGAAATAGCAGGGAATCTAGTTAGGATGGCTGTCATCAAGAAGACAAAAAAATAACAAATGCTGACAGGGATGTAGAGAAAGGGGGACTCTGGTACACTTGCGGTGGGAATGCAAATTAGTACAGCCATTATGGAAAACAGCATGGGGTTTCCTCAAACACCTAAAAATAGGACTACCATATGATCCAGTAATCCCACTACTGGGGATATATCCAAAGGAAATGAACTCAGTACCTCAACAAAATATCTATACTTCCATGTTAATTGAATAATAGTCAAGTTATAGAATGTTTATCAACAGATGGAGATAAGGAAAATGTAGCATGTATAGTCAATGGAATACTATTCAGTCATAAAAAAAAAATTCCAGTCATATATGGCTGCATGGATGATGGATGGCACTGGGGGACATTATGTTATAAGAAATAAGCCAGGCTCATAAAATTGAGTGCTGCATGCTCTTAGTGGTATGTAGAAACTAAACGTATGGATCACATAAAAGAAAAGTATCAGAGGTAATCAGCTAGAAAGGCCAAGAGGAAGAACAGATAGAAAAAGAAAAGATAATAGTTATCAAATAAATAATAGTTACCAAAATTCACTTAGATAGGAAAGAAGTTCTCCCACCCCATAGCACAATAGCAGAATTCCATTAACAATTTTATGTATATTCCAAAATAGCCAGAAAAGGGGATTGTGAGTTCCCAACACAAAGAAAGGATAAACGTTTGAGGTGATGGAAATTCTAATTACACTAATTTGATCATTACACATTGTATGTACACATATTGAAACATTACACTATACCCTTTAAATTTGGATGATTATCTTGTATCTACTATAAATGCTTAAAATAGCAAGTCACGTAGATCACAAGGAAAAGCACTTGCTGAGCCCAGAATAGATCCCGTCCAGAGATGATCAACAGGTGGAAGGGAGGGGGAATTAAGTGGGGAGAGACCAAAGGTAGAGGAAGAGAGTGCCAATCAAAGCCACCACCATCCTCTGGCTCCTCCCATTATGAAATGCCTAGCTAAAAAGTAAGCCACTATGTCAATCACCAGAATAAACACCTTTAGTGACAAACTCCCATACTTCACGGGGGAAAAGTTTTGCCCCTTTAGAAGATGGTTAAAGCCCCTTCAAAGTTGCTCTTTTTGTTTCAACTAAAACTCCTTGAAGCCACTTACCAAAAAAAAACCAACCAGGTCATTTGCTGTAGGCAATCTAAGAGGAATCTTTGTTCATAGTACAACCAAATGCTTAGGCCAGAAGGATTCCTGGGGGCTTTTTTTACTATGTGCTCTTTGACATTGAACTGAGCATGCTCAGAAACGGACACCTTAATCTGAGCATGCTCATAAAACACTACACGTAGGTGGGCTTTCTACATGTATGTATAGGCTTCCTAATACTTTCTCCAGGAATTTTCTTTGTTCTCCAAGAGCACTGTTTGGAAATAACTCCAGTGGGTTCCTTGCAGGCTACAGGTCCGAGATTTCCTTGACTCAACACCGATCCATTTGCCTTTCCAGATCTACTGTTTGTTCACTGTTTCATCCTGCGCAGAACACGTCTCAGGCTTCTCTGTGCCTATTTCCTCGGCTGCAAAAATGGACAGAAGGTAAAAGTTCGTTTTGTTGTGAAAACTGAGAGAGCTGGTGTACATGAAAGTGCTTCGAACCGCATCGGTGGGATATGCTGCTGCCCTTGGGGATACAGATTCATTTCTTCCTCAAACCATTAGGTTATTAATTCGTTCAACAAACAGTGGCCATATGGTCTGAGACAGGTGCTTTTCTGAAAGCTGAGAGTACAGGGCATTGGAGTGACAAAACTCTCAGGCTTTCTGAAGATTGCCTTTCATGAATGTTGGGGAAAGGAGACAAATAAAATAATAAACAAAATAAAGTAGTAAACGATATTGTTGAGCTACCATGAGAGACAGGGAGTGGGGATGCTGAATTGTACAGCGATGAGAGAAGGAACACTTGCAGGGAGCGTGGAGGTTTGAGTGGGTGGCCACAAAGATGTAGGGAAGGGTCTCCTAGTCAGAGAGAGCAGGAAGTGTGAAGATCCAACTTTTTCTTACTGTACCCTGGCAGGTACATCACCATCTTACTAAAATGATGAGAGTTTCCTTCATCCCAAGGTCAGTTTATGAAATGGATTCTCCCACAAAATCAAAACACAACAAAATAACAATAGCCCTTAGTTATCTCGTGTGTATACTTGGAGTGAGACGGGGCTTCCATCCAGTCAAAAACGACACCCAAGATCTGTTTCTGCCCACATGTCACCAACCGCTTTCCCTCTTATACACACCAGGGAGACATTATAAGTGAGTGCCTCGCCCTGTATCTGTCATGTTGGAAGCAGCTATAGTATTTTCAATATATTTGCAATGTGCTTGGGCATTAGGGGCCTGTTACTCCAGTCTTATTCCCCCACCCTCCTCCCAACTTTCCAAAGTCCTACCAAGGACAGAAGGTACCAGAAGAGGTTGTTGCCCTGTTACTGCTTAGGGAGAATGGGTAGTGGGGGGGGGGGTTACAATTGATTATTCATGTATTTTTTTCCATACCATGCTGAGAACTGTGTGACTTCAGCAGTCTCCAGCCTTCTGACTGTGCACAGTGCCCAGCAGAGAACCTGGCACATAGTGGCTATTCAATAAATGCTTGATGAAAGAAGAAATGGAAACTAGCGTTCAGTACCATACGCCGAGGCACACACAGGCACTCTCCCGTGTTCATCGCCATGGACCTTGCTCTGCTTCTCAGCCAGCAGGAGCTAGGAACGCCCCCCAGAGCCAGCTTGACAGAGCCCTGACATCTCAGCAAGGAATCTCACCTCTCCTCTCCAGAGCACACTCCCTCGTGCCACCCAGTGTCTGTGGGTGCGACTGAGTGGCAGCCCATGGAGGGAGTTAGGTGATTCTATGGCAGGTTAGCTTTGTCGGCATTTACATCAATCACCCCTTTCTGTAATTTTAAACTCTAGCTCAGCGTTCTCGGAGAAGACATAAATTATTAAACAAAAGAAAGCAACTCTGGCTTCAGATCAGATGGTAATAAGCATCACCTCGTACAGCTCAAAGTCCCTTCATGTGGCCCGTGTGGCAGCAGAAGGAGGTTAAGATTTGGCAATGCTTGCTCAAGTTCTGGCTGGTGCTAATAGTGCATGTGTCTGGAACTCACAGAGACTATTGGAAACAACTGGGCCCTGTCTCCCCGTGCATGAGGAAAGAGGAGGAGGAGAGGGAAAAGAGAGGCAACCTTTCACGTCAGAACAAAGGGAGTTTGCACTGTCTGCACATCGTCTATGTCTGATGTACATATATGGTTCTGTGCTAATGTTTACATCATAAATTAGGTGTCACTATGGAGGTTCTGCCGGTAAAGACATCAGGGCACAAAGACATTAAGTGGCTAACTTGAAAGCACACAGCAGATAGAAGAGCTGGAACTGGAATCCAGGGCCATCCAGTGTCAGCTGTCCCCTCCCCACACATGGCACCACACCCTGTGGACAGCTGTGAAGCCCAACCTAAAGGGCGCCATAGGTGATGAGCCCTGGGATAAGCTTAATGTGGGACACACCTTTGAATTTCACATTGGGGGAGGAATGAGACTGTGCATTTCTAAAGCATTGGAATCAGAAGGACCTCTGTCCTTCCTGTACAGAGGGTTAAGACAGCATCGTGACAAACAGCAAAACTCATGCATCCTGGAACAGTGCTCTCAGCATGTCCTCTACTGTGGTTCCTGCAAAGCAGTCCTCTTACACATGTTCTTCTTTAATCACCATGGAAGTTTAATGCCACATATAATATATAATGCATATATATATATACCCATTGAGAATGTGCAAACTAGAGCAAGTCAGAGCTGCCATTCTGTGCTCCATTCAATAGGCTCTGGAAACAGGCCCCCAGACCACAGCACCCTACTTACATTTTTCCCTCCTGAAATTGAAGAGGAGAGGCATAGTGAGGTTGAGAACCTCCAGAAGCTGGGGTGGGGGGAGAGAAATAGAAGAGACTGCATCTGCCAGGGGAAGGATCCAGCTGGAGCTGGACCAGAGCCCATTCAAATCCCACAGAACCCTCACTTCCACATAGGTGTCTGCAACACATGTGATACAGCACAAACCCCCCAGGAAGGCTGGTCCAGCATGCCCATCCCCAGGAATATGCCAAGTCCACGCTGTGTCAAACAACTCCAGGGGAAGGGTGTCTTTGGTCTCTTCTAAGAAACTCCCCCATTTTACAAAGAGGAAACTGACAGATAGAAGGAGGTCACTTGACTAAGGTCATAATGACCTCATTAGTGACAAAGGAACAAGAGGTCAAGCATCCTGATACCCTTTCCAGAATGTTGGTCCAATTCAACCCTGGTACATCTCAGAAGGAAAAAAAAAATGCTGATTGAGATGAAGTCCAATCCTGGTGTCCAGCTCACCAAGTGCTACAGGTAACCTTCAGGAATCTACACACCTGTGGCAATAAGGACAGGTGCCCAAGATACCTGCCCCAGAGAGAGCCAGGCAGAGACTTCATCATGCAAATAAACACCTGTGCACTGGATTCCACTCTCGCATCCCGCACCCAGTCATCGGAAGAAGACAATACCCAAAGCAGCTTGTTTGAAGTCTCCAAAAAATAACATACCTCAGAAGGTGCAAGAAGGCTTATCCCACAAGCATCAGTGAAAATGCCACCTCTTCCAGGAAGCTCTCAACCCTCACCCCTCACTCAATTCCAAATGAGCTCTCCTACCTCTCAAAACCTTCAGACTTTATCAGTTCTGTAGCACCATAAGGTCTTGTATGATAGCTGCCATTGAGTTCTCTTTCAGAAATCAGGTCTCTTTGTTATGGTATTTTATAAACTCACACAGCTTAGAAACATATTAAAGACTTCCCCTCCAATATCTAGCACTGAGCCTTGCCCACAGTGCACACTTAGTAAATATTTGTTGAATGAATATTCTTATGCAAAATCCATCATGGGAAATAGAAGATTATAGCTGATCCAACCAAATAGGGTTCAAAGAAGAGGTGGCTTCCAGCATAGATATTTCTTCTAATTCCAAGAGCAAATCTCCCTCTTGGAATTCAGAGAGTGATAGCCGTTGTTGACACTGGAATATGGAAGAAGAAGACATTGAATTAATCAGGTGTTAAACCAAAAATCTTTGTTTACTGAAGAGCCCCTCGGCCTGTGCCAGATGTCTGTCGTGATGAAGTGCCTTCCTTTCTCACAGGAGTGTGGGAGGAGGGAAATGGCCAAAAACCTCCATTTTGAAAAGTTAAAAAGACACTATCAGAAAGATACTCAGGACTTTCAGATCAGAATGGTAACTGGTCTGGCTGAAAATGGTGGAGAAAAAAGGCAAGAGGCATCATTGAAATGACGCTTGGCTGCCAAAGCAAAACTGAAGGTCTAAGAAGGAGAGCCAGGTGAGTCAGGAGGAAAATCCTGCCCCCAAGGCCCCTAGAAAGATCTTTCGTTCTCACCTGGTAAGACCACACACTTGTAACTGATGAGAATGTTCTTGGGTCCTGGTAACCTTCCAACAACCATTGTTGCCAATTGCTGTGCCCTTTGGTTCCCAAGCCACCTGCTTAGCATGACACCAGCCAGAAATTCCAGCTGCGCATCCCAGAACCGTGGAAGTTCACACTAGCCAGGTGACTTCTGAGCCTGACGAATGAAGCCAGCTCCAATATTTCTCTTGGGAATCACGCCAAAAAGCAGCTGCCTAAATAACAAGCCCCACAGCCAGCTCCAGTACGACTTCCCCTCTCAATGCCAAGGGTCATCTACACTGCCAGGCAGCAGACCGCAAAGCAGAAAGAAATATTCAGGCACAAGAAGCTATGAATATTATTAGAGCTATATATTTCTTCCTTGGGAGTTTCAAATTTTCTTGGCTACAGAGTCCTGGAGGTTTCCTCTGACCCAGGTTTCCTCCTCTCTGCCACTGCACAGCTCTCTTGCTTTTGCAAAGGAGCTAGAAACGATCCAGCAATCTCTGTTCACCCAGCACTATTTGGGGCATTTGCAAGAACTGACTCATTTAATCAAGACAAAAAAGAAAATTCTGTAAAGTAAGAAATACTATCACTTCTGTACTATGGATGAGGAAACTGAGGCCCTAGGAGGTTAACTCAGCCAAGATCACATGGCTCTAGAGCCGTAGGATTTATACACAACCCCTGTTTTTGTTTTGTTTTGTTTTGTTTTGCATCTCTCTATATATTGTTGCCACTGATACAGAACAACCCCTCCATCTTT